CCTGGCGTGTGGTTGAGCAGAGCTCCTCCCATGTGAGAGCGCCCTGACCACCAGAGGGCAGCTCCTGCATTGAGCGTCTACCCCCTGGTGGTCAGTGTGTGTCATAGTGACCAGTCAGTCCCAGTCTTTCTGCTGTTAGGGTCAGTTTTCATATTACCCTTTTACTATATAGGATTGAGGCCTGGTGCACGGGTGGGGACCAGCAGGTTGGCCCTGAAGGGTGTCCCGGATCAGGGTGTGGGTCCTGCTTGGGTGCCTGGCCAGCCTGGATGAGGGTATGATGGCTGTTTGCAGCTGTTTGCACCCCCTTCAGGGTGGGGGTCCCCACTGCCTGGCCAGTCTGGGTGAGGGGCTGAGGGCCGTTTTCAGGCTGGCGGGTGACTGAAGCTCCCAAACTCTCCTTTTTTCTTTTATTCTGGGATTTATTTACCTTCTATGTCTGTCACTGGAACTGAGAGCTGGCTTTAGCTCTGAGGCTCGGCTCCAGCTCTGAGACCTCAGCTGCTGAAAGCAGGTATCTGGTTTTGTTTGGGTTCTATAATTGTAACAGTGTTGCGATCCTGCTCACTCCAGCTCTGACCATTGAAAGCAGGTTTTTGGGGTTTGTTTAGGTTCTATAAGTGCAACATTGTTTCTTAGAGTGCAAGCTCAGAGGCCAGCAGTGGAAGGTGGGGAACCTTGGCTTCCTCCATCACTGGAGCAAGTAAGTCTCCTGTTCACTTCAGCTGCCTGGCTGCTGGCCGCCATCTTGGCTGGCAGTTAATTTGCATATCTCGCTGATTAGCCAATGGGAAGGGTAGCAAAGTTATGGTTAATTACCACGTTTCTCTATTATTAGATAGGATTATATAGGATTATTTATTTTTTCAATATATTTTTTATTGATTTCAGAGTGGAAGGAAGAGGAATAGAGAGATGGAAACATCAATGAGAGAATCATTGATCAGCTCCCTCCAGCCCGATCCCTACTGGGGATCGAGCCTGCAGTGGGACCCCCATCCCCACTCCAGTGCAGAATTTTCATGCACCGGTCCTCTAGTAATCATAATAAAAAAATAAGAAGTTATTTAAAGATCTTTACTGAGCTATCTAAAAAACTGAGTTTTAGCTCTGCACTGTGTTATTTGGAATATCTCTTTATTTTTCTATCTCATTTTTTTCTACTTGTAAAACTATAACATATTTAGTCTGATTTGTCTACTTAACAAGGATTTAAGAAAAGCTAACAAACGAGAGAAATAGCTTTGAACTGTTTAAATAGAAGGTATCACAAAACTCAAATAGAATTCTAAAGATAGTCTAAACTTGATTTAAACCAAATCTGACATAAATTCATAATGAATACAGTCCTTGTGGCCTTATACTTTGTGATAACCTAAGAGTATTGAAACCATTGGCTGATGTGACAAGTGTCTAGAAGCACTTTTATCAAAACAGGATAAATTGTATTTAGAAAATCACTTAACTGAGCATATATCAGCTTCTTTGTGATGATAACCCACATGAATCATCTTTTAGTGCTATTCTTAAAAGACATATTTCCTGTTACAAAGAATTACAAAATGTACCACTTTGTGTAACTGTCATATTTCAAAACACATGCTCCAGGAATTGAAGCAAGAAAACCTTAAGTGTACGAGAATTAAAGTTAAGTATGTGAATATAGGAAGTTGAGAGTACAAGCCAGTAACAGACTCACGTAATTTTAAAGACCTAAGGGAACTTAGAGATATTTAATCCTTTTTGTCATATTTGAATTATTTTTTAATATATATTTTTATTGATTTCAGAGAGGAAGGGAGAGGGAGAGAGAGAGATAGAAACAACCAATAATGAGAGAGAATCATTGATCGGCTGCATGTCCCACACAGGGTATGGAGCCCGCAATCCCAGCATGTACCCTAATCGGGAATCGAAACATGATCTCCCAGTTCATAGGTCAACACTCAACCACTGAGCCATGCCGGTTGGGCTGAATTATTGGTCAGACTCATAAAAAATACATTTTGTTTTTAGATCTGGAGTCTGTAATACCCAATTTCAGCACATAGGAAAAATAGAAGAAAAATACCAAAATTTTTGTACATGACCAATATAGTGCTGCAACAGAGTGATCAAGAAGGCCAAAATCAGACATCTAAATTAAGCCTAGTTTTCAAGCAGGGTGACTGGATTCCTGAGTTAATATAAACAGTGAAGAAATGTAGAAAGAATGAAAAAATAATTGTGTCTTCTTTTAAATAGTAGAGCAAAGAGTTAAGTTACCTTCGTTGTTTTTCAATACTTTAACCTTGCTTCACTGTTAATATGAGATTCCCAGAATCCAAATCCTGGATGCTGAGACAGGAAGCTGGTGCTCTTGAATTTATATCTCAGTTCAGAACTTTAATTTTCTTTTGCAGAAAAGATAACGGAACTTAATCTTTGTAGAAACATTATCAAATAGTTGAGCAGAATAGCTTAGTAAAAGGTGCAGCCAGCAAAGATATTTGTATAGTTTGTGCAAAATTACCTATGTGCATGTGCTTGTATGTTTTCTATGCATGTATCTAAATAGAAAATATCTTTTCTTTTACTTCTTATAGGGATGTCAAAAAGTACAGGGTTTTCATAATGTGGTACCTGAAGGCATGAACTTGAGTTTTCTCTTAGCCTTGTTTTCAAATAATGGAAATTACACATGCGTTGTTACATATCCAGAAAATGGGCGTGCATTCAATCTCACCAGGACTCTGGCTGTAAAGGTGGTAGGTAAGCATGATTTGTATTATGTGTGCAGGATAAAAATGAAATAATCTTGTGGGTTTTTTTCTGTTAATAGTTTATTAAAAACAAGTGTATAAAATCTTTGAGAAAAAAAAAGAGCTTATTTTTTTTTTTGCTTGTTTGTTTATTGCCCTCTTTTCAGAGCCTCTAGAATTTCCACATACATAGTGGGCATTTGGTAACTATTGGTCTCTTGAGTGAGTATGTGAATAAGTGAAGTAAAGGCAGTGAAAGGAATACCAGACAGATCTGTGTCCAAACTATGCTACTGCCATTGAAGAGCATTATGATTTTGCTCAAAGTCTCAGCCTCCTCATCTGTACTCTGGGACTTAGATTACCTGACATTCAGGATAGCTGAGGATATTAGACATAATATACAGGCAAACCGTGGAGACTGAATAGTAATGAAGAGTAATTAATATCATTGTCCACAATCTGTTTAAATAGAATGAAATAAACTATGAATTTCTATGTACTGCTGTTATAGTTAATGCTCAAGGTGTTTGCATGCAGTGTTCAACCACTGGTTTGAACTGAAAGAAGAGGGGATGGGAAACTGGGGAAGTGACCGGACAATGTCTACAGACTCCTGTGAAACCCACAACCAAGAGAACCAGTGTCAGGATATGTGGTATTTAGAGGAGAACCCTAAATACCACTGTGCCCACTGTATTAAAATTAGAGAATATCAGAGTGAGATTTTATGAAACCCCATTTTTTTAAAGAAAAAGGCAATTTATTATCTTTTTTAAATTTCTGTAAATCATTGGTATAAGGTATTTGCACATTTTTTTTTTGTCGGGGGGAGGATGAAAATCCTATCTTTTAATAGATGGAAACATTGAGGCCCAACAACAGAAAGCAACCTGCTTAGTTAGAGACGTTCAGTGCATTGGTAGAAGAAGTGATTCTAAAGCCCACGTTTTTTACTTTTTGTTTAAGGCTTTTTCTACCAGTCTGACACCAGATTCAGCTTCTGTATTTCTTTAAAACAAATTTAACATAGTGCAAATAAAATTCAAATAAAACACTTTTGTAACCAATTTCTTTCTCTGCTTACTTTCTGAATAGTGCTGAGTTGGGAACTAATTCAGAAGAAAAATCAGACTAAATTTGGAACCTAACAAGAATGGACTTTAAAAGTCAAATGAATAATCTAACCTTATATTCATGTTGGCAGTTGTTCCTAATATATATATTTAAATGCAGTGAGTGCTTTAATATGCATCATTTAATTAATATGCAGCACAACAATACCCCCCAAATTAAGATAATTTAACTTAATTTAATTCTTATAATGAACCTGTAAAATGAGTTTAATTACTCTCATTTTAGAGATGAGGAAAATTAGCTTTTCGAAGATTTATTAAAAAACGGTCATGTGGTTAGTAAATGACCAAGTTGGGATTGGAACAGCTATTGGTCATTAAATCTTTGAAGCCTCTACTCTTAAATAATACGATATAAATCTCCTTCAGGATATTTTTCATTCAATTTAGGAATACTGAATGCTAGAAAGAGCATTGATCCTATGAATGAACCTTTAACTGATAACTGGACATCAGGTACCCTTAGGGGCTGGACTCATCATTGTGATTTTGGATTTCCCGTATTCTCATTCATTCATTAATACTTACTTAATTAGGTCTTATACTAGACACTCTGGGAATGTTGAAGAGAAATATGTAGAAAAGAAACAATTGAGCAAAACAGGAGAGCAATTAATTATGATGTAGTCTGACAAAGACTATATCTCATGTAAGCTTTGGAAAGTGAAAACACTGGTTAAGCATTCTATTCTGAAATATGGAGGATAATCAACATATTATGTTTGTTTCTTTGTTTTGTTTTGTATGACTAAAATGTTATAATCCACTCTATAGTGAATATATTCCATCTCAGATGCATAATGCAGAATTTCTATGTGTAAATTGTCTTCAGACTTATTGACTGCAATTCTTCTCAAGAAGAATTGACAAACCATGCCAGAAGGTTGGGCAAAGCTTCACAGAAGATAATATTTTTGAAATAGGTTAACAGGGATAAAGACTTCATGACTTAACATCATCTCCCATTGTTCTTTGACCTCTCACAGGCTCTCCATACTCTGCATTGCCCCCCCAGATCCACTTACCCAATGATCTTGTGGTCTACGAGAAAGAACCAGGTAATTACAGCTCTGGACTCTGAATTTCAGTTAGATTATCTTAATTATAAGGAATAAAATGTCACAGAAGTTAACACAAGAGAAGAGAGGGCTATTGTAAAAAAAAAAAAAAACAAACAAACAAAAACCAACCAACCAAACAAACAAAAAACCACAGGCATCGAAATTGATTGTCAGAAATCATGGTAGCTCCGTGCATTAGCTACCTCCTGGATCTCATGAGGAGTTCAGGGGTTCTCTGCTTCTCTCTGCAGCTGCTGCTGTCTTCTTCCTCTGCGGGGAGGTACCCCCACCCCCCACCCACGCCCACAGGGGAGGGATTTCTCTTTGATGTAAACTGGAGCTTGCATAGGGTTTTGGTTTGCGGTGCCTGCAGCAGGAGCACAAGCTTCCTTCAAGCTTCTGTTCCACTACAAAGTGGCAGGGTTAAAGCTTGGAGTCAGGACTGGGAATATAATAGGTAACATCTGATACAACTGATAAGTCCTGATTCAGAACGCTACGGAATATTTGCTATGGTCATCTGGGTCTCTTTTTAGTTTTCAGATTTTTTTCATTCCAGGGAAATACTGATCAAATAAGGTATGATTTATTTATTATTCTTCTGACTCAGAGCCTCCCACAGGTAAGCTGGAAACTGCAGAAAATTTTTAACATTTTCTGAATTGTATCTTTTACAAAAATTCAAAACAAACACCCAGTGAGAGTGATAAAAGAACATTTGTTTAAAACGTACTAAAGTTAATAGAGGCAGTGACTAACATAGGTAGAGAACAACAGTACCCCCATATTAAGATAAGGTTTCAAATAGTGGTGTGCCTTGTAAAAACACAAAGAACACAGCCTCAAATGGACCAAATTTTCTTGATTTAGTACTGGCTTTATATAGTAATATAAACATTCTTCCTGCAATCGGGGTAAACACTTATTAATCATCAAGATATATTCCATATACTCATCACATTATGGTTGCAAAAGCATGCCTGAATCCAATGTTACTTTATCTTCTATACTATATTAATATGGAAAACTGGAGAGAAAGGCATAAAACCACACATTGGAAGAGAGGACGGAGTAGGAGCACTAAAGGAGATAAACCTGGGTTCAAATAAGGATGACAATATAATTTATCATTTCAACCTGGACACCTTTTGATAGTGAAAGCAGTTGGTATTAATAACTAGGAAAGCAAGCATACAACAGAACTGTCCTGGGCATCTAGGAATAGAAGGTCTTTCTAGGTCAAATTCTGGTCTGCTACTTATTAACAATTTGATCGAGGCATGGCATTTGACATGTTGAAGCTTCAGTTTTCACATCTGTAAAACATGCATTTTAACAATGCCTCCTAAAGGGCTGGAGCCCAGGAGCTCAGCACTACTACTCACCATGGAGGACCTGCTGCAAGCCACTGCCTGCCTGGAGCCCTCCGTCAGTGAGCAGGAACTGCTTTGGTACAAGCGCATCCAGTGCAAGTTTGCCACCTGCTAGGGGCCTCCTGCAGTCTGGGACCCATCCCCACCCACAGCGGTTACAGCTACCTGGGTATCCCTAAACACCTGAGAGAGCAAACGGCTTGGTCTCAGGCTGCCATCAACTCACCTGAAGGCTGCCTACCTCCAGGATATCCCCTGGGTGCCAAGGGTGATGGGGGAGGCCTGAGAGAATTTAAGAAGCATCCCCTGTCCATTTTTCCAGGCCAACTCCAACACTAAGGCCCATCTGCTCAGGAAGTGTGTGTGTGGGAGGTGGGGAGAGGGGGGTCCTGGAGCTCTGGGAATTGGGCCCTGAGGGGGCCTGGTTGATAGCTAAAAATAGTGTATGCTGCCCTCTGGAAAATTAATTAATTAATTAAAATAAATAAAAAATGCCTCCTAGTAGTTTGTTAAAATTTAATGATAACATTTATAAGTAAAACTATTTAGCCTAGTAAATTATAAAAAATTCTCAGTGAGTGTGCTGCTTATTATTATTTTTATTATTATTACTTCTATTACCATTCTGCCTAGAAATCCCCCAACCTCATATTCCATCTCAGAAGGATAATGTAGAATTTCTACATGTAAATTGTCTTCAGACTTATTGGCTGCACCCGGATAACTGAAGCATGTCCCGGTGAGGCCCGTCCAGACAGTCCTCTCAGCTTTGGCACCACCCCTCGCCTCTGGGCCAAGGACCAAAGATCTGGAGAACCTTTTCTTAGTCATCCTTTGCTTCTGAGTGATTTAACAAAGGAGAGTAGTCCATAGAGGGTTAGGGCTAAAAAAGGATGTTATCAGCGCCTTTTTGAACAAATACATTTTAAAATATACATAGATTGTGTTAAAAGATGGCCATTCTCATAATTTTATAAAAGCTGCTTTGCTTCTTTTCTTGGTTTGTTTATTTTTCAGTGAAGTATGGTACATCACCTAATGGTAGCCCACTGGAGAATGTGAGAAGTAGGGTTATAGATACATGTAACATTTGTAGCTTCTGATTAGTCAGAGCAGAACCAATATAGCCACGTGAAGGTTACAAACTAAAGGGTTAACTTGTTTATTTGTTTTAGGAGAGGAGCTGCTCATTCCCTGTAAAGTCTTTTTCACTTACCTGAAGGACTCTCGCAATGAGGTCTGGTGGACCATTGATGGGAAAAAGACAGATGACACCACTATTGACGTAACTGTTGATGAAAGGTATCACTGGTGGAGGCAAGGGGGTGACTAAGGCTGTCCCTGACTAATGCACTCTGCTGTGTACTAATCAATGAAAATAAAAATTCTAATTTTTGCCTTACTAACAAAAATCAGCAAGATTTTCACTGCATCCCAAGGCAGGATTCCTGGACTTGTAATTGGAAGCCCAGGTGCCATCTGATGATCACACATTTATGATACCTACTTGAAAGTAGCATATCCTATATGAATGAAAAGGTCACAATATAAGATTATAGAGATATAGAATCATGTCATTGTGTCCCTGTTCTCTTTCTCAAGTCTGGAGTTTGGGCCTGTAAGCATTTGTGCCTGAGATCATTGTGTTCATTTCTAGTCTTGCAGTAAGCATGTATTTCTCTCTTTCTTGTTCTCTTTCTTAATTCACATAACACATATGTCACATTTATCATTGATAGTGATTTTTTTTTCATATTGACTCAATACATTCATGATCTCTAGATTTTATTTTTAAAGTAGATGGGGTGTCAATATATACTTCACTCTTAAAATAACATGCTGGGTCACTTTGTTTCAAAATAAAATGACTTTTTAAAAAGGGAGTTGGGTTGGCAAGGAGGAAAATATGGGTCTTTGAAGACAAAGGATCCCCCCATAATGAAGTATACAACTACAAGAGAGCAATTGGTTCACTGCAACACTGAATAAAAATTAGCAGCAAACCAACTACAGACAAAGTAATTCTTAAGACCATAAGCCTTATCACCAATGTGTAACTAGATCTTCGGCTACTAAAACTTCTAGAATTCAAAATATTTTTTTTTCCTAGTAGTAAACTTAGACTTTGTACAGATATTATAAAATGCTTTCATTGCCTCAGGTACCTGAGTAGATTCTATAGGAGTAACAATGATAGAGCAGAAAGTTCAATACTTTAATCTGATACATGCAGCAGCTGGGAGGTATTACATGGTATGGGAAGACTGAGTTGGGCAGTCCAATCCATTTTGGGGGGTTAGGTAATGCTTCTCAGATCTCACTGTACCTAAAAAAATAATTGAAAAATGAGTAGAAATAAACTAGATAAAGACATCTAAAGAATGTTCCTGGTTAAAAAAAAAACAAAAACAAACATCATGTGCAAATGCCTGGTGGTGAGAGCAGCAGAACACATTTAAAGGTGCTGAAGAAGCTTGCTGAGATGGGAGCAGTGTTGGCAGAAGGAATGGCTGAAAGACGTGGCTAGAAGTATAGAGGGAGAATTACTGATCACATGAGGAATTCTGAGGATTGTGCTTTTGTCATAATGATTGAATAATAATGAAAGTCATGACGTTCCTCCTTGCTGCTATTAAAACACAGCTCACTGTTTTACAGTTGAGCAGTGCATTAAACTTGGGCTAAACCCACTACAGTTTTTAACCAAGTTCCCATGACTGACACTAAACATTTTCAGGAGAACCTGGCTATTGGTCAGCTTTAATAGCTTTTTTTTTTTACTTTTTGTAAAAGTAGTTCAAAGGGATTTTAATCTTGGTCTTAGACCCAAAGTACTTGATCTCTCACTTGCTTAGATTTAGATATATTTATGCTCACAAGGTTTACTTACTCAGTAGTTTCATTCATCCCTCTTGCAATCTGGGACCGCTGGCTCCTAACCACTTGCCTACCTGCTGATTGCCCCTAACCCCTCTGCCTGGCTGATCACCCCTAACCACTCTGCCTGCCTGCCTGATGCCCCTAACTGCTTGCCTGCCTGAACACCCCCAACTGCTTGCTTGCCTGTTTGATCACCCCTAACCACCTCTGCCTTGGCTCCTGTACCCAGGACCTAGGCTTCCCTCCTCCAGTCAGCCTCAGGTACCCAGGACCCCAGGCAGTGCCACCCAGGCCTGGCTTTATCAGGAAGGATGTCCAGAATGATGTACGGAAGACGTCCAGTCTATCTGGTCTAATTAGCATATTGCCCTTTTATTAGTATAGATGATTTAATCAGGAGATTTTGGCATTTTGACTGAAATAGTCTGCTTGGATTAAAAATCAAAGCTTTGGTGATCCATGAAATGCATAAGTTATTACTGAGGGATCATAATAGCCTATATGAATAATATGAATATTTATTAAGAATTGTTCTAATACTTGCACATTAATATACTCAACCCTCAGATTTCTTAACTAAATGAATCTAATGAACTGTGTCTGAAATAGTCTGCTTGGATTAAAAATCAAAGCTTTGGTGATCCATGAAATGCATAAGTTATTACTGAGGGATCATAATAGCCTATATGAATAATATGAATATTTATTAAGAATTGTTCTAATACTTGCACATTAATATACTCAACCCTCAGATTTCTTAACTTAATGAATCTAATGCACTGTGTAAGCACTGCCACTTTCCTCTTTTACAAATGACCATCTCAAAACATGGAGAAATTAGTTAGGCTGCCAAAAGGACTCAGCCAATAAGTGGCAAAGCCTGGATCAAAACCCAAATGGGTCTAGCATCAGAAGCTTCTCTCTAAGCCAATATAGATAGCATTCTGCCTTGGAAGTTTTAGGCAAGGAGACATTTTGCTTTGAAAGAGTTAGAGAGAGCTATATCTATAGTGTGATGCCAACACTGGGAGTTGATCTTGGTGTTGGGATTGTGTCTAGTATAGATGGTAAGGAATAGTACTATAATCCAGAAGCTTTTGCAACCATTGGATTCCAAGGCAATGCAGTTTATGGCCATTCTATCTGCCCTCACCTAGTGGCTCTCTGTTGTCTGCTTGACTGTTTTACACACAGTACGAGGCCCTTGAGTCTCACTAGTGCTCTAATTTTCTTTCCCCTCTTTCCAGAGTGAGTGTGGCTGAACTGGAAGATGAAACAAGAACTATGACTCTGAGCATCAAGAAAGTTAGTGCTGAAGATCTCAAACGCAACTATGTTTGTCATGCTAGAAATGGCAAAGGGGAGGTTGAGCAGCCAGCCAAGGTGAAACAGAAAGGTAATGGATGCATGCCCTCAGCAGAGGAATCTGGGAACTCTGACATAACGTTTTGGTGACTAAGGAAAGGAGAAGAAATTGAAAACCTGGGCACCAGCACTTACCACAACATCTACCATATAGTCATGAATCAAAGTTGAATGAAAAATCTTGAGGGAAATTTCCATCTATGCAAATATATTCAAAGTAATTTTAGTAATTAATACCTGAATGTGGCTAAAAAAATCCATGCTTATGATAATAAGGCATAATTTCCTATCTATATAATTATGAAAATGAAAAATAAAGGAAATATTTAAGGCTACCAAAGATATAATAAAAGAGTCACATGTTGTTAGTGAATTGTAAAAACCCTTTTAGAAATCATTGCTGGCAGAGTTCAAGACTCATAAAAATGATCATATTCTATGACTTAGTGTTTTTGGAATTTTTCATGAATAAATAACACAAAGAATTATGGCTCCAATCAATATTCTTAGCATTAGCTGTAATAATGAAAGATAAGTAGCAACCATCTACTAGTAATTGTATGCAAGTAAAGTGAAATGTAAAATATTTATTATCGAAAATATAATTTTAAAATGATCACTTTAAACACTATGTATCAGTATTCAAGTGAGATTATAATATACCATTAGCCACAATTGTTAATACAAAATTATTTAAACTATGACTTAAAATGATATAAAATGATTTCTATGTTGATATACTATATTTTTCTACAATAAATGAAAATTATAAAGCTTTCTTGTGTGAGCTGTTGCTCCTTAAATAGAACATGTTTAAAATATTTTTGGTTCTTTCATAAAAACAGACAATTAATACCTTCAAGAATGTTTTTCAATAATCTGGAGGCAGATAATGATGATTTATCACACCTGCAACCAAGTCGTTCAGAATTATTTCGGATCCCCTAGTTAGTGCCCATAATATTTATATCAAAAGTTTAAAAAAAGTTAATTCAAAATTGTTACATTTTAAACCTTTTTTAAAGCTGGTGAAAAAAAAAACTTTCACTGTAACATTTTTATTACAATTTTGAAATTAAAGAGCGAAGGTTGAAAGTGTATATCCCTCTTAAGGAGTTTTAGTAGGTTGGTTCTGGTTAATTAATTGCCTCTGTTACTCAGGAGTCAATGTAAAGAGAAAATACTCAACCATATGTTCAAGACAGTGTTTCCCAAAGTTTCTTCCTAAGAACACTCGTAAGACTCTAGACTCAGATGGCCTATGTTCAGAGAGTGGTTTTTATGCATCCCAACTCTGTGACTTTGGAAGAGACACTTCACCTCTCTGAGCTTCAATGTCTTTATATTTAGAGTAGGCATAATAATACCACTACCTCATAAGGTTGCTTTTAAATACTGAGCACAGTTACTGGCATATATACACGTACATTAAATTCATAATAAATGTTAGCTCTTATTATTTCCACAGATTTTCATAGGTTTTATTTGACAAAGGCTTATATAGTCAAGTCAGTATCATTAAAGTATAGGTTAAACAAAATTGATCAAATTACTTTAGTTCAGGGCTCCTTAGCATCTTTAGCATACTACCATTTGGTATGAATATCTGCAGGGGGTTGGAAATAGTAGGAAGGATTTATTTTCAAATGTATTTGACTCCAGATTCCCTAAGCATGGAACATTTTGTGGGACTTGTCTTCAGAGGCATGTGTTTTGAGAAACAATTATGAGGTTGGCATAAATCAATAATGTATTGTCAGCTGGATAAGATCAATGCAATCAATTAAAATAATATTGAATCTGGGAGTTATGCAGAAGTCTATCCAGCAGAGCTAGCTGAGTAGCTCCCCTTTCACAGAAGCGTGTGCTAGATGGGTTAGTATGAATTGCCTCAGGAATGTGAAGTGATAACTGCATCCAATAGAACAGATTTTCTATTCTTCATTGATTTTCAAAATTACATTATTATATCCCTGAGATATTTCTATTTGTATGTATCTTAGGGTTCTTTAAATTTCTTGGTTTGGTGAGTACATTTTTTAACTTAATTTGAAAAGTTAGCTTTTTTCTTTTTTTCCCTTTATTTTAATTAATTTATTTCCTTTCCCATCACCACTTATCCCCCCATACCCTGTTTCACCTCCGCCCACTCTCCTCCTCCCACAAGCACCATGTTCATGAGTTCTTTCTCTCCTTTTTATTTTCCTTTTTGCCCAATCCCTCCATCTCCGGAATACCCTCCCCACCCCCTACCCCCACACACACCAAATATGTTAGCCTACCTGTTTAGTTTGTTCATTAAATTCCACATATAAGTGAAATCATATGTTACTTGTTTTTCTCTAACTGTCTTATTTCACTTCGCATAATGTTCTCCAGGTCCATCCATGTTGTCACAAAGGGTAAATGTTTTGCTCATCCTGTCATTCATTCATTCTTACCTTTCTTTCTAGTACTGCGATTAAACTTAGGATAGAACACTCACATTTGATGTCCCACTAATCACTGAGGTTCTCATTATTTTTAATTTCATCATTCTTTCCCTCTGTATTTCATTTAGGATAGTTTCTAGTGTTCACTGGTCATTTATTTCTAATGTCTTATCTGCAGCATTTTTAATTTGAAAATATCCTTTTTTAGTTTTTGAATTTTCATTTCTTTATCAAAACATCTATTTTGATATTTCCTAATGGCTCTTATAATGTTCACGGTCTTTTGAAAAATAGAAATCTGTCCCAGTGGCTCAGTTTGTTGCAGTGTCATCCTGTACACCAAAATGTTGTGGGTTGGATTCCTAGTCAGGACACATACCTAAGCTGTGGGTTTGATTACTGGTCAGGGTGCATACAAAAGGCCACTGATCAATGTTCCTTTCTCACATTGGTGTTTCTCTACCTATCTATCTATCTCCCTTCTTCTCTCTCTAAAATCAATAAACATATCCTTGGGTAGGGATAAAAAATCAACAAGAATATTTATAATACTCATTTTGTATTTATTTTTTATGTAGAAAACCAATTTGTTCCATTATAATTACTTATACAATTAGTCATAGAGAATTAGTCATAGGCCTGCTGTTGAAACAGGTCACCCAAAACAGATATGGTATCAAACTAGTGATCAAGGACTAACTGCTGAAAACAAAACAACAAACAAACAAACAAACAAACACAATTGGACAGTGTACCTGTCAAGTGAGAACATATATCTTTACAACTTGGTGGTCCCAAGGCTGTTTTTTTTTAAATTTTATAGAGGAAGCTTCTCATTTCCCCTTCAAGTTTGAATGATAGCCTTGCTGGATAGAGTATTCTTGGATTCAGTCCTTTGCTTTGCATCACTTTGTAAATTTCCGTCCATTCTTTTCTGGCCTGATGTGTTTCTGTTGAGAAATCATTTGATAATCTAATGGGAGATCCCTTGTATATGACTTTCCGTCTCTCTCTTGCGGCCTGTAAGACTCTCATTTTGTCCTGAACATTTGCCATGGTAATTATGACATGTCTTGGTGTGGGTCTTTTGGGGTTCATCTTGTTTGGGCCTTCCTGTTCTTGTGTGACTTTGTTT